TTTATTTAGTTGACAACTGTCAAAATCTATTAAATGAAAGAATTATGAAGTATTTATATTAATCCAAGCATTTGTTTGCTCATTTCACTTGATGTAAGGATTCATTCTTCATTCACCATGAATATTTATGACCTCCCTCAATCCATATGTTAAAATTCTAACAGCCATTGTTTATATACTGAAAAACGAGACTTGGGGACTCGGTCTAAGGACATTTCTTTTACAGACACACAAAGAAGTCACCATCCCTGAATCAGAAAACAGGTTGCCTCCTGACATCACTGCTGGCTCTTTGATCTTGCACCTCCCAGCATCAAGAAGTGTCAAAAGTGAAGCTGCTACTGTTCATGAGCCAGCTCTCTTACAGAGTTTGGTTAGAGCAGCCCAAAAAGTCTAGGACAAAGTAGTGATTGAAGGCCAACTATTGAAGAGAATGGGGATTTTTACCAGATAGCATCTTTCCCAAGACCCAAAAAGAGGCATGGTAGTAGAAGAATAGCATTCCAAGAGGCCAGTTTGACATTTCAGTTAGAAGCACCTCAGAAATTCCATGCAAATCAGAAGCAAAGTGGAGTTTGATGCCAGAGTACAACAGGAATAACAGTGAGTATTGCCGACTACATTTGGAACCAGCTTCTACTTGTGTGCATCTGCACCCTGCAACAGAATCATGTTATTCAACTAATACAGGGAGAAAGGGACCAGGTCCACATTGGAGAGCTGCCAGTGCTGGCCATGGCCAAAGTCCTCTTGTAAATGGCATTTGAAAACTCCTAATGAAACCATTTCAATGTTTGGAATTTATCCAAATAAAACAATTCATGAAGAAACATTCTCTATGAAAAACTGTACAAAACACAGACATGTCACCCTATATGTACATTCATAGATGTGAAATAAAAAATATTTTAAATTAGAAGTCCTTAATAATATAGTTGCAATATAGAGGAGGGTTTTAAATATATATATTTATGGTTTTGAATAAGTAATTCACATTTTCTAAGTGTTAGTATATTTTTCAGAGTGATTTAAAGGGAGAGTCACTTATCTGAATATTAGTAATCAAAAAAGTCTGACTACCTTAGTATATTAGAAAATAATATTTGCAGATACATATATATATATTATATATCATGTCTTAAATAAGTACCACCTGAATTAGCACACTTCCTCCAAGCCTCCATTACATTTTCTATCATAGACCTACAAATAGCAAGCTTTCAGTTTCTTTGTATTTACCAATTCATAATAAGCTCTGCCTCCATTCAATCAAGAATTTCTTACAGATCCCAGTAAATTGCTCCATATATGACAGTTGCCTAAGTTTTACTAAATGAAAAAGTATGTCCTTTCTCCCCAGACACTTTTTATCACATATGAGCTCTAACAATTTCTTTCCACATCCAACAGGAATATTTTGATGCATCCCCTTCAGTAGAGAGCCAAGAGGAGGAGTCCCTGAGTGTCAGTTTCTCCTTGTCCTCACCTGCAAAGCTGTCTCCTCTCTCAGCCTCTATAGAAGTCAGCTGGATGAGACTTACCCTCAGAGTACATGGACTAAGGGGTGCTTTGATCCAGTTTCTAGGAAGCTGTTGAGCAGAAGTTCTTAGAGCAAACTCAAAACAGGGTGAGAGCAGGCCCCTCCCTCTGGAGTTCTTGTTCCAGAATCCGCTCTGTAACTGGGAAGTTAGCAATGTACATTTGGGGCTCTTTCCCAGAAGACTGGACAACTTTCTGCTCCCAGAAATCTCTCTGTCACTTGGAAACTGAAGCCAGCCTACCAGGAGCGAGTGGATGTGTGGGTATACACATGCAACAGAATATTATTTGGCCATAAAGGCATAAAAGTTTGATACATGCCATACTATGGATGATTCTTGACTACATTGTATTAAATGAAATAAACTATACACAGATAAAATATTATATGATCCCACTTTGGAGATCTATGTAGAGTAAGCAAATTCACAGACACAGAAAGTAGAACAGAGGCTACCAAGAGCTGAGGAGGTTAAAAGTTATTGATTAGGAGGTACAGAGTTCACATTGGGGAAAGATGATATAGGTTGGGGTATAGATATTGGGGATAGTTGCAAACTACTGTGAATATATTTAACACTACTACAGTGCACACTTACAATAATTAAAACGTTATATAGACTTTACCGTAATATATTTACATGTCTGTATGGATATATATGAATGTGTATATATGTATTCATATATACGTGTGTATGCATATATATTATGCATATATGTGTATATGTATGTATGCACAGAAAACAAAGAATAATCTATCTCTTTTATCAGACACCAGGCTATATTCCTGTCTGTGAATCTCCATCATTGTATTTTTTATTAGCTTCATATAAATACATTTTATTTTCCTCAGAGTAGCTGAAGGTGATCATTGTTACTTCAGTATAAATGTGTGTGTGTGTACATGTTCCTCTGCATATGATGGAGTGCTCATGCCCCATGAGTGTATACATATGGAAGCCAGAGGTCAATGCTGAGTGTCTCCCCCAATGGCTCTTTACCTAATTTTTTGTATCTGGAACTTTCCATTTTGGTCAGATCGGCTGGGCAGCAAGCCCCAGAGCTCTTCCTGTCTCCCTCTTCCCAGAATTGGAATAACAAATATGCACAGCTGGTGTCCAGAATTTAACTGGGTGCTGGAGATCAGAACTTAGGTCCTCTTAATTGCAAGGCAAGCACTCTACCAGCAACCAGCTCTTAAGTGTAAAGTCTGAACTAAGGAACTTTAGCCAATGTTCTGCTCGTCAGTGTTTTGAAAACTGCTCATCTTTGTAGTGTCAGGCAGGATCCAGAAACCAAAGGCTACAATTTCCACGCTTCACTTGCCTTGTGGTCCTTAGCAGGGCAAAGTTTGGATCGCTTTCCAATTTTACTTTTACACAGTATTATGAACACTATAAATATCCCACTGAATTACAAAAACTTGAACTCAATACCTCTGGGTTCAAAATTTGATGTTGGCATCCCTTAAGTGAAGCCATTGAACAATGATGTCTAGCAAGAAGTCTGGGTATTGGAGGTATCTGAGAACTTTGCAACTATGTCTCAAAGGGAGGGGGAGGAGAGGACAGGGAAGGGAAGAAGAGGAAGGAGGGAAAGGAAAAATATTTTTGGACTTAACTTTAATGCTTGCATGATAGTCAGAATTTTGACACAAACTCCATGATGTATTCAACCATTTTTCTTTTTGGAAATTTAGGACGCTTCCAAAGTCTTACTATTTTATTAAAGAAAAACCACATGACAGGTATCTTTGTATATACTTCTCATTTTTTAATGAATAATTGACACACAGAATTAGGTTTTATTGTACCATTTCCAGATAAAATTTATTTTGATTCTCCTCACCTGTGTCTCATCCCCCTACCGCCTCACCCCCTCACTGCATCCTTACACAAGCCCTCCAGTCCACATTCAGGTCGCTTGTGCTCTCCCCCTGCTTCCTCAACACTTCCTTTCCCCTCTCATGCTCTCTTTTCTGTTTTCAGAGCCTACAATCACATTCACCCCAACTTACAAACATACAGACATACTTTATAAGCTAGAATCTGAAATATGGGAGACAACATGTGCTTTCTGTCTAAATCTAGATTTTTTTTTTTGCTAATTCCCATATCCATTCATTTTCCTGTCAGTTACATGATTTCACTTTTCTTTACAGCTGAAGAAAATTCCTTTGTATATATGTACCACGTTTTCATTATCCATTCATCTGTTGGTTTCATCCAGGCTGGTTCCATGCCTTTGCTATTGTGAGTAGAACATCAATAAACGTGGATGTGCAGGTATCTCTGTGGTAGGATATACAGTACTTTGATACATACTCAAGAGCAGCGTAGCTGGGTCACAGGAAAGTTCTATTTTATTTTATTGAGAAACATACGCTAATTTACATAATGGCTGTACTAGGTTGCACTACCTCCAACAGGGACAAAGCATCCCTCTTTCCTCACATCCTCACCAGCATTTGTCCTTGTCCCTTTTCTTTGCCACAGTATGTCACTGGGGTGAGATGGAATCTCACATCTAGTTTCCATTTGCATTCCCCTGCTAAGAATGCGGAACACTTTTTAAAATCCTTGGTGTGCATTTGTTTCTTCTTTTGAAAACAGCTGTTCCTTTCATTAGCCAATTTATTGACTGGCCATTTGGGGGTTTAATTATTGCATTTCTTTATATATTCTAGATGCCAATCCCTGTCTGAGGTATGGCTGACCTTCTTCCATTCTGCATGCTGACTGTTCACTCTGTTGTCTGTTCCCTGCTCTGGGAACAAAGGGAGCAGTTTCCCTGGCAGGCATTCCAGAGCCCTGTCCTTCCCCCCTCCTCTCTCCATCTGCTCTGGCCTGTTGCTTCAGTGCTTGGAGGATACAAGTAGAGGCATCTGTGGATGCCACCACATCCAGGGTATTCCAGCCCTGGAACCCCTGGCTCCATTCTCTCTTCCCAGTAATGTTCCCGCACTTCCACACACTAGACTGACTGTAATTAAGCCAGGGGAATCCCTCTGCTCCCCAAGTCTTACACCCAGGAGCAGGCAGTGGGAAAGCTGGGTCCACAGAAGAGAGCCAGAGTCAGTAAGGCCAAAAGGGACCCCAAGGGTGCTTGAGACAAAGCAGGGTCAGCCAAGGTGTGAGCAGCCAAGGGGCTCCACAATATCTTGCTTGCTTAGCATTGCTTGGGGGCTGCAAAGTCCTAGAGTTCTTGCACAAAGGGCTACTAGGGGCAGAAAGGGGGTCTCCTGCTGCTAGGCTGCAGATGGGTTTGCACAGTCAAGACACTTGGATCAACTACTTGGAAGGACATTTATTTGGAGGTGGTCATGGGATCCTGAGAAGACCTAGGGAAGGGAAGCACCTGCCCTCAGCACTGATCCCTGACACCAGTAAGAGAAACTGCCCACGACCCACGACCACGAGGGCGGTAGCACCCGCGATAGACAAGGGATGTGGGCGGCTCACCCGTGTCTTGGCGGAACTGGTTCATGGACTGCAGGTCGATGATGTAGGGCGCCAGCCGGCTGTCCACCTGGCCCAGTACCACGCTGCCCCCGGCTCGGGGACCCGCGCGCACCACCGCCTCGATGTGGTGACTCACGGCCGGGCTGTAGGGACGCCAGCGGCCGTGCTCGTTCAGCCATTCCCACACCACCACGGCCGAGGCCAGGAGCATGGCGAGCCCGGGGCCGTGACGCGGCGCTGCCCGCCTCCCGGGCCCGGCCTCCTGCGCTTCCTCCGGCGCCGCCGCCTCCGGGCCTGGACCGCGCCCCCCGCCCCGCGCCCCGCCGCCGCGGGCAGCCTCAGCTGCGGCCCATGGGGGAGTCCGCAGCCGCGCAGGCACCGGGACGCGGACCCCGGGGCCGCCCGCCTCCGACCGCGTGCCGCCGGGCTCCGCCGCTGCTGCCGCTGCTCCGAAGGGTCCAGCGGCTTCATGCAAAGGCCCGGCCCTGCGCACTCGCCGCCCCGCCTTGCAAAGCCACCCGGGGGCGCGCGGCCCGAGCGACGCTGCACCCGCCTCGCACCAGTTGCGCCTGGGGCTCCGCGGGCGCCCGCGTGGATCGCGCCGCACGGTCACGCCCTCCGCCCTCTCTCGGTGCGGAGTGGAGCGACCGCGGGGGCACAGCTCCCCCTCCCTGTGGCTCCGCTCAGTGGTTTCCAGGAGTCGTCCCTCCCCGGCCGTGCCCCAATTTTGCAGCCTCTAACTTTCTGTCTTTCTGTTTTCAACGTAGTGCCCCAATTTTGCAGACTCTAACTTGTCCGTCCATCCGTCCGTCTGTTTTCGGCGTAGTGCGCCGACTGAATCCGAGGCGGAAGCTTCGAGGCTCCCGTCTCACTCCTGCTCGCTCACGCACTGGTACACCCACACTCGCACATACACGCACGCACAGCCTCAAGCCCTCCCTCCTCTTTATGCCGGCTATTACCTCATCCTCGCCTGCATCCTTCCTTAGCTGTCAGTCAAGGATGCAAAAGCCACGCCCCCTGGCCCCTAGCACTAACGCCCTAGAGCTTCTTTGCCCCCTGCTGGTCAGAGTCCACACGTGCATGTCAAAAGCCGCACACTGATCATTGAGAGCCAATGCCGAGGGATGCATGCGTTTATGGCATAAACTTTCTACTGTCTATGTAAAAATCAGAGAAGGCTGATGTGTTGCATTGGCTGCTTGAAAAGTGAATATGAAAGAAATAAGTAGACCCTAATATCTGTATCCATCCGGATACGCACATTTATAAAAGGGGTTTAATAGGAGCTACCCCAGACACTATTGACTATCAAATAAAAAGCTTAGCGCCAGGTATGGGTTACCTCTTTTAGAGCTGTACCACAGAACCCGCAAAACATTATAGCTATTCTCACAACTCAGGGTTACTCTCCAGAACTTGATAGGGGTGTTGATAAAGATGTCCCATTTAGGACTAAGAATTCTGTTTTATTCTCAACACATTGACCAAGTATGTGTCTCTGCATTGATTAATACCCACTTTAAAAAAAAGCTTCTACATAGGTCTAGGGGCATACATATAAATATTCAGAAACAATTTTGACCACAAGACTGTTTAGGAAATAACAATGGCAGCTTCTATCCTAGGACCTGGGACCTAGCCATTGATTTGGGGCTGGTTTTCCAGTGTGCTTGCGTCCTTTCTCCCTTTCACTTAGTAACGAAACTCAACATCTAGTCTCTACCTCTTCATGAGTAAAACCTAGTATTTTATATATTGTATTATTATTACTGTTATTACTACTATTATTATTGTTGTTGTTGTTGTCATTGTGAGGAGGCACACATTATGGTGTTGTAGAGGTGAGTGCACAAGTTTGTAAAGCCAGTTCTCTTTTTCCATCACGTGGCTCCTGGCGTGGAACTGAGGTCATCTGGCTTGTGTGTCAAGCTCTATGAGCCACTGAGCCGTCTCATGAACACTGTTGCCAATACACTTCATTTTAGTGTTCCCAATAGGGGTGTAGTGATAATTTCTTGTGCTTTTCACGTGTGTGTATGCACATATCATGTGTTGATGACGGTGATATTTAACATTTCCCTAAGTGACTACTTCCATCTCTGTATCTTCTTTGGGAAATGTTTGCTCGTGTATTTGGCTACTTTAAAAATTAAAGTTTGAGAACTTTAAAAATATTATCAATAAAAATCTTTGGATACATGGCTTGAATATATCTTCAGACAAGCTGTAGCTTCTTTTCATTCTTCATAGGGTTTTTCACAACTTTCTGGCTTCCATTTTCCATATTAAATGTAAGAATTGTTTGCCTGTCTCTCAGACCTGATACCTTTCCCTTTGTTTTCATAAGGTTTTTGATTTTACAATTTATAATGTAGATCTATAATATATTTTAAATTAATTAAATGAAAAATAACCCCCTCCCTTCCTTCTCCTTCTGTCATGGCTTGGAGAACTTATTGCTCCAGTGTGGTTTATTGAAAAGTTTCCTCTGAATTTCTTTGGTCAAATTTCTTTGTCAAAGTCAACTGGACATATTCCTGTGAACCTATTCCTATATCCAGTTTCTCTATTCCATCCCATTGATCTATACGTTCACCCACCTATCCATGATGTACACTGATGATTCACAAACTGTATTGATGATCCATATTGGGTTATTATAAATAGGACTAATTTAGAGTAAATAACATTGTTTTAAAAACCAAATTCCCATTATTTACTGCTGGTAAATAAGAAATAAACTATTTTTATTACGTGTTAACTCTACAATCACTCTAATTTCCACTATGGGCTAGATTTATACATCTTTCCAGAACTCACATGTCGGTACCTAAGACTCAAGGTAATACTATTAAGAGACTGAGCTGTCAAGGGTGACACTAGTGCTCCCCAAAAGGTCTGACCCTTTTGTCCTTCCATATTCTGCCATCCCAGGATGGAACCAAAGGAACCACCATCTTGGAAGCAGTGAGGATTCACCAGAGACAAAATCAGTCCTTAGATCTTGAACTTCCTAGTCTCCACAGCTATAAGTAACAACATTGCTATTTGAAAATAACACACACCAGGGAAGGAGAGGTGGCTGCCCTTTAGAGGACCCAGGTTCAATTCCCAGAATCCACGAGGCTACTCACAATTGTAACTCCAGTCCCAGGGCATCGAATAACTCCCTCCTGGCTTCATGGCCCAGGGCAAACACATGATGCACAGACATACATGCAGGTAAAATAACCCATACAAATAAAAACAAAGAAGGAAAAATGTAAAAGGACCCTAGCCTAATGTACTTTGTTATATCAGCAAGAATGAACTAAATCATTTATTCGTTAGTCCCAGGGACGTTTTGTGACTTTTGTTCATTATTTGGGACTTTTCAATAAGCTACCTAGACAGCCATGTATTCTGCAGAGACTTTCTCTTACTTTTTAATCCATGTGTTATTTGTTTCTTTTTCTCGTATTACACCAGCTAGGACTTCTAGTATGACATTAAATTGGAGTGGTGACAGTAAACATCACTGTCTTGTGTTGGATCTCAGCAGGAATGCATTTAGGTTTCCTACCATTAATTATCATCATAGACGCAGGATTTTTAAAGTTCTTTATCAGCCTGAGAAATTAACCCCTATTACTAGTTTGCTGAGAGTGCTTGTGAACTAGTGTTTAACTTTTCCAAATGCTTTTCTATACCGAGTGATATGATCAAACGTTTTTATTCCATTGCACCTCTCTGCTGCTCTCCACTCCATTCCCCTCACCCTTAAGGAGCACTTCCCCCAGGACTGGCGTCTTCCATGGTGTCATGGCCAAAATCTCCCTTTCTCGGCTGTCTGACACCCTGTCATGCTGTCCTGAAGTGGAAGTGGATGCAACTGTCAATGCGCTATCAAATATAGTCAAAAGAGTAATGGGAAAGGTTCACATACATCACTTGAATGGCAATCACATCCCTTCCTCCCTCCATGACCCAAAATCTACCAGGTGGCACGCATCCTTCTTCCTGGTGAGGTATGGAAGATTTGATAGTCTCCCTCTATCACCTCTGGATAAAGGTCCTGGTATACCACTGGTATTCATATCTCCTGATTATCCATGGATTTGATCCCTTTCCATATGAAATGCATGTGTGCCAGGGCCTATATTCTGTTAGTGAAACTGGAGTGATAAAGAGAAAAATTGCCTTCAACAAGGCAGCTAGCTCTCATGATTTTTTGTTTTTGTTTTTTATTTTTTTGTAAAATCAGTAACACTAAGACCATACAGGCTAAACTCTTAAACTATTTAAATTTAAATTTCAGGGCTTTTTAGATACTTTCTTTGCTACTTAATATCACTTGAGTCATCCCCAAAAGAGTATGCCAAGTGAAGAAAGCCTCCTTGTGTCCAGCTGTCCAGTGTCCACAGGCAAAACTGACCATTCTTTCCAACAGGCTTCCTGTTTGGAAGGAATGTAGTTCCCGGCTGCGTCCGAAAGGGGGCGATGTTGTGCTAGGAGATGGCCTCGAAGCAGACTTGCAGGCTAGGTCTCACCACAGCTGGGCTTTCCCACCCTCCTTTACAGACTCCTTTTGCTAGCCTACACACAGAGCCAGAGGACAATCTACACGTCCAGGTGGAGCAGAGGTCAAACAAGGTTCCCTCCTGCACTGAAGCACCCATCACCACCCATTTGAATCCACCCAAAGCAGCCTATTTCGGATTCCCTTTCTTTTCCTTCCCCATCGAAAATCCCACCTAAGCTCCATCCGTTGACTCTTACTGCTTCCCTCCCACTAACAGAACCGCAATGAAAATCAGAGGCTTATCCCATATACTCCTGCTCAGCAGCCCAAGGGAATCGGAGACGCTGGTGAGGGATAGCTAGAGGAGGACAGCGGGGAGTCGGAGAGAGGAAACTTGATTATCAGCACTTTTTCACACCAGCATCCGTTTCTCTCCACTCAACTATCATCGCTACCGGTCTGGGTGTCTTCCCCGCCCCTCATACTGCCCCCACTCTTTCTGTCAGACTGAGCCGACATGACCACATCAGCACTTTTTTTCTCTTCATTGGAAAGGGAAGGGTATTGTGGTTTAGTTGAATGAATTAAAGCAATAACGTTGAGCCCCTCTCTGAATTCCCCCAAACATGGATATACAATTATGCATGGCCTCCAGAACCCCTTTGGGATAGAAAGAGGTTATGTCTGTCTTACGTTTTTGTTTTTTTTTTTTTCCCCAAAAGCAGCTGAAGATGAGATGGAGGAAGAGTGGGTTCAGAGTTAGAAAAAGAGACCACCTATGTGATTTTATCTTCGGTTTTGAATAACTGGTTTGGTTTTAAGGGAATGGATTTCTAACGTTTTGGTTCACCCAGAGCTGTGCACCACATATTTTTTTTTTAACCGCTGACACGATTTATTTCCACATTAGTAATTCATGTATTCAGTAGCCGTAACTGCATCCCTTTACTGCAGAGCCACGGGGCTTGCTCACCCATGGTCACAGCCCATCCTTCCCTCCTCCTCTCCAGAGAATAACTTGAGTAACAGTGAAGAACTAGGTGGGTCACTAGCTTCACCCTTACCTCCTGTAGTCAGACTTACTAACATGTGAATCAGTGGGGACTTTTAATCTCCTTCCTTCCCCCACTGTATTCATTTCTTGGTTGACAGAATTTGCTTCCAGATCCCAGGGAATCCTCTCAGTGCTGAGCATGTAATGGAAAGGACAGTTGTTTATAGATTACAAGTTGATGGGCTGGGGAGTTGGTTCCAGGGTTATGAGCATTTCTTCCAGAGGACCAGGGATTCCATTTTCAGCACCCCCATGACAGCTCACAACCCTCCAAATATAACTCCAATTCCAGAGGATGTGATTACCTTTTTTCTGGTTTCCTCAGGCACCAGGCACATACCTCATGTGAAGGTATACATAAAGACAAAACACCCATACACATAAAATAAATAAATCTAAAAAAGATTCATAGGTTGAGAGCTGAGAAGTTAGAGCATGGCCTTGTTTCATCTCATATGGAAATGAGTGTAGCAGGCAACTCACTCAATCCTATGTGCAAATGACAGAAAGCATTACAAGGACATGATTTGAAAGGTTTCCCAACTAAATTTAGGGAGAGAATATGGGATCTTGTAGGAAGCACAGCTTGGAGTAAGCATTGAAGAAATCAAGATTGTCAATCACGCAGCTCTATTTTCTTCAATGAAATGAATGAGGCCTGGTCACCTGGAATGCTCCAGTGAAAGTGGCCAGACAACCTAATGATCCTTTGCTATTCTATCAGAAGCCAGCCTCCACCTGAATTTCTACCAAATCCTGAGAATCATTTAGGAACTAATCATTGACTTTATCTCTCCATGAATAGAACTTATCCTTATAAAAGAGGCACCATGCACTCTACAACCTCCATCAATAGAATACATCCTTGAGCTTACTAAATATTCTTCCTTTCCAGGTCCTAGCCCTGAGCACTCTTTCCCAGTCAACAGAACCTATTTTTATGATAAAGGTCTCAGATACTATAAAATAAACTATAAATGGAACATTTTGTAAGGGAATTTCTTTGTAGCCATCTCTGAAACTTTGTTATAAGAACATGTCACATGGAAACTTTTTCCCCAAAATTCTGTTTAAATGTGTAAGAAAATTAAACCATGGCATCGGACTCTCTAGAAGTTTTGATCCCATCTGACTGACCAAATCCAACTGTACCAAGTTTTCATTCTAAATTCTTTGAGGTTCCTTTCCCTGTCCGTGGTGATACTTGCAGTGACTCCCCCCGCCACACACACACACACAAACACACACACAACCTGAAAATAATGAGGATCTTTTTAGCTGTTAAGAGTTAAGGAATGCATAACTGAAGACAAACATCTGTGGAAACCACCTTTATGACTTTATAACATTGATAATGTGTATTTGGAACAAACCAATGAGAATGACATACAAATAATCTTTACTCTTGTTCCGTCTAGAATTTCATAACTCACCAAAGATACTACACTTTTTAAATTTTGGTCCCTCTGTATTTCCTTTGGGAAAGCTAGACAGAGCAGCGGAAACAAAACATTACACAATAGCACTAGATGTCTGGAAAATAAGGGGAACTGTGGAATCTGGTCTCTTATCAATCCTTCCACACCATCTCACCCACTCCTCCCCCTTCCCTCAGATAATCTAAGACCTCTGGCTGTCTTCAGTAGATAAGTTCTCCCTGATTTTGATGGTTATGAGATTGTTTCCTTGTAGCACAAATCTTAAAAGGTCTTATTAATAAAAACAAACCCAGGAGCCAGATATTGGGATAAATGCTGCAAGATCAGAGAAACAGAACCAGCCACAGCTAACTTCACCTCGCCAACTTCTCAGCAGATCCTGTTTCCTCAAACTGGAAGCCTCTGAGTCCTCACCTGAATGGATCTCAGCTGAACTGCTGCCGAAAGCCTAAAAGCTTAACCAGCTCTAGTTCCTGGTCCTCACGCCTTATATACCTTCCTGCTTCCTGCCATCACTTCCTGGGATTAAAGGATCACTTCTTAGGATTAAAGGCATATGTCACGATTCCTTGCTGTTTCCAGTGTGGCTTTGAACTCACAGAGATCAAGTGGATTTCTGCCTCCTGAATGCTAGGATTAAAGGTATGTGTGCCACCATTTTCTGGCCTCTATGTCTATCTAGTGGCTGTTCTGTTCTCTGACCCCAGATAAGTTTGTTAGGGTGCACAATATATTGGGGGCACATATATCACCACATTTCCCCTTTCTGTCTAAAATAAAAAGTTATAACTAATATAAGAAAAAGTATATACAATATATGCAGTCAAGAATTATGTTAACAATGTCCAGTCCATTAACATTTGACAAATTCAGACAATAAAATTTCATTTCTTATCCTATTTAAAACAAGTAGTTCCTTTTTAAAAGGCGATTCAATGATCTACCTTTTATCTTATATCCATATGCTCTCTTTTTTCTTTTCTGAGTAGATTCAAAAGTCTTTTATCATTTCTATACCTTCCCTTTTTTCTTTTTAGAGTACATTCAATAATCTATGCTTTTATCCTACTATTTCTATATCTTTTTTTAGAGTAGATTCAATGATCTACCTCATATCTATATTCTTTTTTTCTTTTCTTTTTCTTTTTAAAACAAAAACCCTGAATCTAATCTCTTTGTTTAGCTTTTTTCCTGACCATTAACAATTAATACCTTGTGAAGACATCTTTAGGGAATCCTGAAAAGAAAATTTTTGGGTTAATTATCAAGTCCTGAGAGAGTTAGTTGTATATTTGTCCAGTATCTGCATAATGGGAAAGTTAAAGGCTTGTCTCAAGTCTTTGCTCAAGTAGTCTATGAATCTGGATCATCTCAGCTAGCCATCTCAAAATTGTCATGAGCAGTTTATAGTCCAAAGTCGATCTTTCATTGGTGTTAATCAGCTTAATGACTTTACCATAGTCCATATGGAATCCTCATTGTGGAATCCTATCATCCTTTTGAAGATTTCAAAGTTGCTGTTAGGTGTGGTCATGGTTCCCTACAGAATTTTTTTCTTCTGTCTTTTTTCTTTCTTTCTTTCTTTTTCTTTTCTTTCCTTTTCTTTTCTTTTCTTTTTTTTTTTTTTTTTTTTTTTTTTTTTTGCCTCCTCTGTGGTTTGGAGCAATCACAGTCTGATAAATATCTGTTTTTGGGAACCATGAACGTTCTTCCCTAGAAGAAAATATCTTCACAGCAATTACTCCCACCACTTGCCTTGCCAAACTTTTCCAAACTGACCTTTGCCGATGCTTTCTTGTAACACGATGGTCCTGGCAACTGTTCTCTGAACAAGCAGCAGTAAACCCTTCATCCCAGGCAGCAGCATCACCGCGATCACCAACATGAAGAGAAGGAGCCAGCAACTTGGAGCAGCAGCTGCTGCCTCCATGGTCCCACTGCCACCATTTGTGGCTTGGCCCTGCCCGCAGTTTCTCCTTAGCAAGCCTCCAAGGCTGGCCTCAAACTCGGGATCCTCCTGCCTCTGCTTCCTTCAGCAAATCCTACCAGTGTGCACCACCACAACCAGGAACGTGTAGCTTGGGTCTGAGCTGGGGCCAGCAAGGCCACAGGCAAGTAGCTTTTTCAAGAATTAGTACCGGACAAGTTGGGCGCCAGATGTAGCACGAATCTTAAAAGGTCTTATTAATAAAAACAAACCCAGGAGCCAGATATTGGGGTGAATGCTGCAAGATCAGAGAAACAGAACAGGCCACAGCTACCTCACCTTGACAACTTCTCAGCTGATCCTCTTTCCTCAAACTGGAAGCCTCTGAGTCCTCACCTGAATGGATCTCAGCTGAACTGCTGCTGAAAGCCTAAAAGCTTAACCAGCTCTAGTTCCTGGTCCTCACGCCTTATATACCTTTCTGCTTCCTGCCATCACTTCCTGGGATTAAAGGTGTGTGTCACCATGCTTCCTGACCACGCCTTCCTTTCTCTTCCAAGGAGTGGGACTTGAGTGTCACTGCTGAGAACTGTTCTAGGCTATGCAGCATCCTCCTGGCCTATTCCATGGTGAATCCCGTGACGTAGAAACCATCTCTTCCAGGGTTTGCTCTCCATAACTCAAGTCCAGGAACTCCCAGGTGGCCACATTGTATGGCAGAGACCAGTTCCCTTGCCTGCTCAATGACTTCCACACCATTCCTTGCGGGTTCATTCCAGACTCAAGTCTTAAGCCAGAAAGCCAGAGCGGAAGAAAGGCAAGTGATTTCAGGGACCTCTCAGGGCTGAAAAACCTGTGACTCAGTGACCTGGCTGAGCTCTGGTCGGCAGAGAAGGAAGGTACAGGTAGAACCAAATAAAGCCGTGCCTTTGAAATAGGTTCAACTTGCCAGGAGAACCAAAGGCTCCTTTTCCCTCACTCTCTTTGGTCCACAAGTCCAGTTCCATGATCTGTACTTTTTCAGATCTTTGCATCTCCTGACACTAAGTCTCCTGAGACCTGAGTCATACTTCATCTTCTTTTTCATGTTAAACAGTCAACTCAAATGTTTGTGTGTTGTTGTTGTTGTTGCTGATGTTCGTGAACTTTGAAAAGAAATGCCTAGTACACAGGAAGTAATCTAGAACATTCATTTTTTGTTGTTGTTGTTGTTAAATCAATCATTTTTAAAGTTCATAAAACATTATTGTCTGCAGAATAACAACATCATGGGCAGTTCCCTTAAAGTTGGAAAACAGATGAAATCCTCTCCAGTCCTTAGGACTATTGGCTCCACATTTCTTCATCCTGACAATTTCCAAAAATTATATTATACCAATGTTCATTTTGCTTAATATCATCAAGAATGGATTCCATAGAAGAACCAAACTCAATGATATTGGAAACTCCACTTTGGTACTTACAAGTGAAGCCAGCAGCATGCATGGCCACCAATGAACCATAAGAATCAAACACTGGGGATCCAGAAGACCCGCCAAAAAATGTGGTGTCATAGGTAACCACATGAGAGCTGTGAAGCATTTCCTGGAAACTTCTTTGGGTGAACATAAGGACAAAAGGCATAGAGAAACGGCAGCCTGCTGCCTCTCTTTCTCGAACATTTTCCTCACATTTTCTTCCTCGATTATCTTTAGGGACCACTGTACAAGCATCAGTAGACTTCTTTTCTCCATCTGGATGGCCAATGATATAAATCAACCCATTAAGTGGCGCAGGTCCTATTCCATTATATAGTCCGGCAGGTACGCGTCCTCCATTTTCCTTGAGTTCCAGGACAGCATAGTCAAGGGTTTTATTAGATATCTCAAACCAAGGTTTAACATTAAAAGCACTGTCTTCTCTTGGTGGGAATTCTTCATAATCAAAGGTCACCTTTACACACTGACTAATTATGCTTGCCCACTGACTTGGATCTATGCCTTCCCCCACAATGCCAGTTATCACATGCCGACAAGTGATAATATACAATCCTTTAAAAACAAAGCACGTGGCACTGCCTTCATTTCCATTATTGTTCCACCGCAGGTACCCAACTGAGTCACTGACATGTGAAAGATGTTTGAGCAGTTTAACAGAAGTAGAATTTTTTGTCAGTTTCCCAAAGTTTTCTTTATGCATTTTGAATAAGGAAAATTTCTTCTTTCTTTTTTCGCTTTCTTCTTTGATATATGCTCTGAATTTTTCTCGTTGTTCTTTCAGTGTGGGGTACTCATCCACAATGTGTTCGTCTACCTCATGAAATTTTCTGTCCTCTAACTCAGAATTGTGAGTGACAGACACTACCTTCGGGTTCTTTGTTAGTTCAGTCTCAACCTGCAGGAGCTTGCCCTCTAACTCATCAACTGGCTGGGTGTTTTCTATGACGGTGTCCAGGTCACTAATGAGTTTCCAATGGTCACTCTCCACAAAGGAGTAAAACCTACCATCCTTCATCAGAGTGTCCTTGATGCTCTCTCCTTTGATGCCATAGACACAGAGTTTGTTGCCCTGTTTGTGAAGTTCTCCACACTTCAGAATCCTTTTCCTCTTACTCCCAATTGCATGAATGTAAAATCGGACATAACTGGTAGATGCTAGGTTCTGTGGTTCAAACGACCGTTTATTTTCTTCTGGCTCACTTTTACGTTGAGAAAATGTAATGGCCACGTGGCTGCCTTCTGGAAAACAGCAGAGGGGCATGCCAAGGTTTATGTACCCTTCGATTCCTTCTATGCCGCGCACCAGCATTTCTTTGCCTTGTTGTCTTTTTATCTCTTCTTTGACAGCATCAAGAGTGTTGAGTGCTGCATATAAGCTACTTGTCTCTCCATGTGTGTGGTTATGTTTCATGTTTTTGTTTTTCCTGCGGTTCACATCCAAGGTGACTGTAATTGTCTTATTTAGGGGAGGAGTCTGATCTTGTCGGATTTTCTTGGCTCTGCAATCCTGGGTGTCGGTTATACCTCTTGGTCTTTTTCTGGAGTCCACTTTTGCTTGAGAAATATCGGAATCATTCTGTTCTTCTTTGGGGACCTAAAAATAAATGATGGATATCTTATAACTCTGAAAACTCTAGTTCTGTGTCCATTTTTAATGTCAATTCACATAATTCCTCTGGGAAACTCAGTACCAATTTCTAAAGTAGAATTAAGCCAGAGTTCATCATGGAATCCAAAACACAATCTCAACTTCCTATCAAACCAGTCAGAAAAGCTCCTGTTACACATGGTGCATTTTTCTAACAAATAAGAGGGCAGACACAAGTGTTATCCAGACACTCAAAGGTCTACCAGCTTCCCTACATGGTATTCCAAGTAATTTTTATTATTTTCAGCAATATACATTTTATCTTATTCAAGTATAAAGTGTATTGCAATAACATTTTAAAGCTGTTTATTTATCATTAATTTGTTTGTTAAGATTTATTTGTATGTATATGAATGTTTTGCCTACATATATATGTGTGATCCATGTGCATGCCTGTGGTGATATTTTATTTATGTTTTGATAAATAAAGTTTGCCTGGAGATCAGAGGGAAAAAGCCAACCATTTTAAGTAAACAAAGTCAGGCAGCACACGCCCTTAATCCCGATCACTTAGCAGGCAGGATCTCTGTGTGTTCAAAGCCACACTAGGGAACAGAGCCAAGCGTGGTGACACACGCCTTTAATCCCAATACCAACCATAGAGACAGACAGTGACAAGGAAGTGAGGTAGCTGGGCTAAGAGCCAATGAGAGGGCAGGAAAGCAAGGCATATAAAGGCACAGGTAGACAGGAAGTAGCTTGCATTTAGAAGCTGCAGAGTTGGTGAGGTAAGGTTGGCTGGTGGCTATTCCTATTTCCCTGATCTCTAAGGCTTTCACCCATATATTTGGCTCTGTGTTTTTTACTTAATAAGACCATTTAGAAATTCGTCTACACATGCCTGGTGCCCACAGAGGTCAGAAGAAGGCATCAGATCTACTTGAACTGGAGTTATCAGTGTTTATGAACCACCGTGTTGGTGCTGGAAATCAAACCCAGTTCCTCTACAACAGCAACAGATGCTCGATAATTTGTGCTTTATTTAATAATTTGTGAGGCAGAGTCTTGCTATGGAGTTAAGACTTCCCTGGAATTCAGTATGTAGCCCAGGTTGGCTTCAGACTCACAATTTTCATAGCTCCTTAATACTGTGGCTCACAATCTTTTGTTCTCTGACTTTTGAATGCTGGGATTACAGCATTGTGCCACCATGCCTGGTCTGACATGTTTGAAAGGAAAAGAGAACATGTGTGTTCCTCGAGCTTACTGTTATGGAGAAGGACAGAAATAAACAAAGATTGGCTTGTCATGGATTTTCTAGCTATTTGGATGCCTTGCTTTCTAGAATCTGGACACAAACAAACAAGGAAAAGGCTTTAACTTTGCACATCAAATGCCTGACACTTCTCCACTGTCCTGATGTAATAAAGGAACATTTTAGTCTCAGAAGGCACAATCATTTGTCATATCTTAGTAAACTTGCCCAAGTCTTCATCACAGGCTCAAGCGACTCTCTTTTCTTTATAAACAAATTGGAACCAACCTTCCTCACTTGACTATGAAGCTTATGGTAAGAATAATTATACAAAATCCTTTGTAAAGTGGAAAGTACTGAACAAATACAGGCTGTTATGATTCAAGGGACCAATCATACTCAGACATTTTAGTACTATTAAGTAGTATTAATTTTGTTTGTTTCACAGATTGCTATGGCATATTACATTTGATCTATTCAATTAATGTTTCAGATATGATTACAATACACCTTTTTTTTAATTAAACACTGCTTTTATTTAACTAAAACCTATATTACAATTCCCTAGCCGGGCGGTGGTGGCGCATGCCTTTAATCCCAGCACTCGGGAGGCAGAGCCAGGCGGATTTCTGTGAGTTCAAGGCCAGCCTGGGCTACAGAGTGAGTTCCAGGAAAAGGCGCAAAGCTACACAGAGAAACCCTGTCTCGAAAAACCAAAAAAAAAAAAAAAAAAAAATTCCCCATCTTTGCTGCGATTCGCCAAAATAAATAAAGTGGATAAGAAAGATCCTAGAATATGTCATTGTCCCAATCTTTCTTGCCAGTAGATCCTATGTAACCTAGGACCCATTGTGGTGATATTTTGTTTGTGCTGAAATGTGATTTTATTTGTATGTTAATAAATAAAGTTGCCCGGGGGTCAGAGCTAATAGCAAGCCATTTAGCAGAAGTCTGGCAGTGGTAGCACACACCCTTAATCCGATCACATGGCAGGCCAAGTCTCTGTGTGTTCAAGGACACAGACAGCATGGAGACTCACGCCTTTAATCCCAGTACCAACCACAGACACCTGGAATTCTGTGACCAGGCAGTGACAAGGAAGTCATGTGGTTGGGTTTAGAACCAATGAGAAGGCAGAACAGAAAGGCAATAAAAAGACGGGTCACAGAGGAGAAGGTCTCTCTCTCTCTCTCAGGGGAAGCGACTGGTAAACTAAAGGCTATTCGCTAGTGCTCTGACCTCTTGGGCTTTTAACTCTTTATTTGGCTCTGTGTTTCTTATTTAATAAGACTGTTTAGAATTACATCTACAGTATATCCCACAAGCAATAATAATAGACATACCTGAAAGAAATAGTCATTGATTTTTGCATTCTTCCTTGCATTGAACGGGATCTTCTGTGATCTGCGCTTCTTAGAGCTCATGGTGACTTTGAGATGAAACAGGGGTTCAACTGAAACACAAACTTCAAAATGGTTCAAGTTGGGTTGGGAATTTAGTTTAGTGGCAGGATGCTTGCCTAGCAAGTGTGAGCCCTGGTTCAGTCTGCAGCTAAAACACAAAAACAAAAAAAGATAAAGATAAAGCAAAAAGAAAAAGTGGTTCAAGTTATGGCAGTATCTGCATACAGACTAAAAGATGAACTGAGTCATGTATCCCAACTTTCCCATTTAGCTCTGGCCTTGCTTGTCCCAGGATGATAACCTTGCAAGCTTATCCACCAAACATAATCATCCAAACAACAAAAGCAGAGCATCACGTGTACCAAACATGTAACAGAAATAGTCTGTATTAGCTAATTCCCATCACTACCATGAAAAGCAAGTTCTACATAGATTTTGATTGGGGGAAAGGATATCTTTGACAAGGGAGATGATGTATCCAAACCCACAGCTTGAAGTAAGCAGAGAATTCAAATGCAGATATCCCTATAAAGGGTTTGCAGCTGGAAAACTCAAAACCATGTTCTACTTACAGTGATGTTAAAATCTTCTCTTTGTTTAATATAGAGATGATAAGGGCAGGGAAATGGCAGAAAGAGAACTGAGTAGTGCCCTGAAAACAAAAGAAATGGAAAAGAAGTATCAAAAAGAAATCTGGAAAGTTTATCCAAAATGACAGGAGCATTTGATATTGCTTTAGGCCTTTTGTTTGAAGTGGTATTTTCCCCTGCTGTCTCTGCAAAGAGAAAGAGCAGTTTAAACGCAACACTGAACCCTCCAGCAGTGCCAACTATCACTAGAGGGACATGCACACAGAGGGCAGCAAGCTCATCTGTCCTTCAGTACATCATCGTCAGAACGATGCCCAGCTTGTGGCAGACCCTAAACTTCACTTATAAAGACACACTCAAAGAATGAGTGGAGTTGGCAGTGACCTGCAAGGCCATGTTCTAAGTGCTTTCTACAAGCTGCCTCTCAGAATCTTCCAAAGCTTGCTTAGATGGGTATTATTACTCCTACTTTACACATAAAAAGCTTCAGTTCTTCCTAGAGAGGTTAAACGTCCATTCAAAAATCACAAAACTCCAGTGAGTACACTTCAGAAAATTTGTATTATCATTTTCTAACTGAAAAGACAAAAAGGAGGTGGAGGCAGGAAAGAATCATATAATGAACTTCCAAATACCTATCATATAGCAAATAATTTTTTTCTCCAATTTATATATCTTCTGAGACAAAGTCTCATGAAACTCAGGCTGGCCATGGACTTTGAACCCCTGATCCTCCGGCCTCCATCTTTCTGCTCCCTGGATTATAGGTATGTGCCATTTCATCTGGTGTATGTGATAGAGAACCAAATCCAGGGCTTCATATATGAAGGGTAAACACTCTACCAACTGGGCCACATTTCTAACCCTACAGTGTCCTTTTAACTATGAAATGGCAGAGACATGGTAAGATTTTAACATTAAGTCACTTTCTGTCTCTACAAGTTAAGGACTTTTTCTTGTCAATTTAGTCACATCAAAATGCAATTGAGATACACACCACACCTTTTAAGTTTTGGGGCTTTTGCTGTTGTTTTGTTTTTTGACTTTGTTTTTCTTTAAACCAAGTCTTGTTTTGGAAGCCAGGATAACTTCAATCTGGCAATCCTTCAGCCTCACCCTCCTTAGTGCTATGATTTAAGTGAGCACCACTACACTGATTTAATTATGCATTTAAACTGTTTCCACCTAAAAAATAATCAGAAGAAAACATAAAGGTTGTCTGCAGATGGCCACCCTTGGCTTGCTTCTTCTCTCTGATGTATAATTGAAGCACCCAGTCAAGTGGGAGCCATCTAAAGACTGTGTCCATGGTCTTAACCCCTCCACTCTGGAGCCTGAGCCCTAGACTTCTTCCAGTAACTACTGCTAATGAGCGAAGATGGAAATCTACTGGCCTGCCTGGGCCTGGTTTCCTGTTTGTGAAAAGCAGCAGCAACTTCAAGAGACAAGGACATCCCATAAAAACATGCACAGCAGTGTCAGTGCCAAGGAGTCTGGGCTCAGCTCACACTGCCACAGAGCTGCATGACCCTGGGCACACTGACTACCTTCTGCCTCTCCCTCACCCTGAGAGGAGTGGTAGAGTCATCTTCAACTGTTGTGAAGACCAAAAAATATATAATTCCGGCAGTCTTCAGACAATGGCCACGTGCGACAGACTGCTCAGTGAACACTATGGCTAGTGCTGCTATCAATACCAATGCTCAACCACAAGAACACTCCTTGGGCTGTAGAAAATGAAACCGGTTGATAACTTGAGGAACTGGACTAGACTATATGATCTCTGCAGGTAGAAATTTATTGTTGAAGTTCCTGGTCTGTTGATGACTCATACTATGATCCATATGAAATAAATAAATAAGGTGAGCAAAAAGGAATATGAGTTTTGCAGTTTACGTACTTAAGCAATTATGAACCAATCCATACTTACCCTATACAAATAATTTCCAGTATCCATGCTGGGTCATGTTACACTAAAGTGTGAAGAGCCTGGAGTTATCCTCCACCAAACCACACGATAATTTGAGAAGACAAAGTCCACTGAGTTGATGAGTGGATGAGATTTGCTTTCCTTCTTCAGTAAAGCACTAAACCAGCACAGCCTGTACGAGGTCCCTCCTGGACAGTTCCCTGGAATTTCTCTTTCTCGTCTTCTTCCCCTTTCTCTCTCTTCCCTCCTCTTTTTTTCCTCTAGCCTTTCTCATCCTCCCTCTCTGTTCCCCAATCACTTCCTCTCCTTCTCCCCTCCTCCCCCTTCTCTCCCTCTCTCTTCCTCCTTCACTTCACCTGTCTTAAGGTCTCTTTCTTTCTGCCTAGTCACATGCACATTCTCCCCCACTTTCCTTTCTTTCTGAAAGGCTATCCAGAGTGAAGAGCCACAGCTGACCTAACCCTCTCCCTACACCACCATGTCATCCGCTCTAGCATTCAGGGGCAAGAAGTAGCCACTGAAACAAACCTGGGCTCCCTGGGTCCTTCAGATGGGTAGCACCTCTGTCTCTGACCCCAAGGGCTTTCCAGCCTTAGAAGCTTCCGAGGCTCTGGTGTGCCTGAGTTTGGACTCCACCTTGCAAAGAATCACAGTTTGTTGACAGACCTTTCCCTTGTTCAGCCAGCACCTGCTACACTTGAATCCAGCACTCGACATTAAGTCTGCTCTTTCTGAGGAAAACCCTCTTAATGCCCTGAAGGGATTGACACAGGGTCTGACAGCAAACGTGCATGCAAGTTATACCTCTGAGAACGCTACTCTAATGAATAATAAAGACAACTGTTACTGTCTAGTGCTTGGCAGAACATTCTGGGTTAGTACATTGATGTTGATGGAAACAGCAGACAAACAGGTCAGGTGAACGGCGTAGCCAGCTATTTGTGTATAGACAGCTTTCATGGTACATGCTAGGCATGCCTGACGAGGAAATCAATATTTGTCACTTACTCTGTGTATTTTTATTCTAAAAAGAAACAGACTTAGGAAATGTGTTGGTGAATATTTGCTACACACAACATTCTGACACGAAAAAATTACATATTATTATTATTATTATTATTATTATTATTATTCCCAATCGCTGTTTCCCAGCCCTTCAATCCTCCAGGTCCCTCTTCCCACGTTCCCTCTCCTCCAGATCCACTCCTCTTCCGTTTTCCCTTTAAAAAAAAAAGGAGTGGGGTCTCCCAGGGATGGCTTAACAAAATTATTTACAGACCTTGAAAGGACAATACTTAACTTCGTATGGAAAAACAAAAACCCAGGATAGTTAAAACAAGCCCGTAAGCCCGTATAATAAAAGAACTTCCTGAACTAGTACCATCCTTGATTTCAAGCTGTACTGAAGAGCTATAATAATAAAAACCAAATGGTATTGGCGTATTAAGAGACAGGTTGATCAAAGGACTCGAAAACGAAGAGCCAGAAATTAATCTTAAGGAGCTTTTTACTCACCGGCTCTTCCCACGGGGCAGGACCTCCCCTTCACCAGCTGGAATCCCGCGTCTTTTTGAAAAAAAGGAACCAGACTATCATTATATGTCATTGTTCACGGGGCGGAGAGACTGTGGATTGGTCCTTTCTCTGACCAGCAATGGGCTCTGCATCAGTCCATTGGCCGCGCTGAGCGCGGTTCAGGAGCGAGCGTCCCGCCCTGGAACCCAAAGGCTGCCGGGTCCAAGCAGCCCGGCGGCCATAGAGTGGGCGTGGAGCTCTGCTCTCCAGGGATCCCCTCTTAGGTATGCTGACTGGACTGGGCGGGAAGCAGAGGAGCCAGGACTCGGTGAAGGGTTCCCGCCCGGCTTCAGGAAGCTGCGCTGGTCCAGCGATTTCCCGCCGGCGGGGAAAGGCAGGAGAGCCCAGGCAGCAGGTTCTGCAATGCCAGCACCCTGGCTGCTGCGGGCAGGAAATGGAGAGAGGAGGAGGAGGAGAACGGTTGGAGGACCCAGGGACTTTCCAGGGGGGAACGTCCCTACAGGGGACCAGCTTCAGTACTTGAACAGTCAGGAAGAAGCTGCTGATCCTTGGCAAAGACAGATGGGTCTTTTTAATCTTAATTTTCAGAAATGTATTCCATTTGTTTGCTATTTATTTATGTATGTTGTGTGTATGCGTGCGCATGGCACGTGTCACAACTTTAAGGAATTTGTTCTTTCCTACCATGTGGGTCTCATGGATGGAACTCAGGTCATCAAACTTGGCAGCAGATGCTGAGCCATCTCAATGAGTCAAAATAAATCAATTTCCAGAGGTACATCGTTAGGAGTATTTTCCACCCGCAAAAAAAGATGGTGTCCACTCCAGAAATATACATCTCAGATATGCTGTTAAGTACTCATCATGTGTCAGTCTGAATTGAGATGTGATTTTAGCGCCTCGTGTGTGTGTGTGTGTGTGTGTGTGTGTGTGTGTGTGTGTGTGTGTGTGTTGGAGGCCAGCCTGGTCTACAAAGCAAGTTCCAGGACAGCCAAGGCCACATAGAGAAACTTCTCTGTCTAGAAAAACAAAAATAAACGAACAAAAAAATCATTTAAAGGCAAAGCAATAAAGGTGAGGGGGACAGGAGGGGGGAGAACAAGGGAATCCGTGGCTGATATGTAGAACTGAATTGTATTGCAAAATAAAAAAAAAATTAAAAAAAAACCACACATTGATCATATGTGAAAAGGTAACATTAGAGATTAGGAGTCAGTTAGCCCTTCTCCTACCACTCACTATTCAAATTGTTCACATCTCTCTGTCACTACAAACAATGCTTCAGTAACATATGCATATAAATATCTTAACATCTGGGCAAGTTTCTCACACGATTGATTGACAAAAGGAACATTACCCAAACAAGGAGCTCTGTGTGTGTGTGTGTGTGTGTGTGTGTGTGTGTGTGTGTGTGTGTGTGTGTTTATTTACTGGTGCAAGATCTATCTCAAAACCCAGAAGCTAGATGTTTCTGGTAGTCTGACTAGCCAGCTTGGTCCGGTATCCCCAGTCTCTGCCTTCAGTTCACAGGAATGACTGGCCGGCCACCATGTCTTTGGAGCTTTTTCAAGGGTTCTGGAAACCTGAACTCTGGTCCTCACACTTGAGTGTCAAGTACTTTACCTTTGAGCACTTGCCTTCTCAAGAGCATTTTAAAAGCATTTTGGCTTTAAAGAAAGGTGATATTGGAGAAAAGACTTGGCAGTAAAAAGCACTTACTACTCTTGCAGAGGACCCCAGTTCAGTACCCAGCACCCACATGGAGTTACAGCCATCTGTAACTCCAGTTTCAGGGGATCCTATGGTCTATTCTGACCTCTGCCTGTACCTCCAGACCCTCACATAGCCCATTGCCTTCCGAGGATTAGAAGGACTGCATATAGAAGGTTTAACTGCTGGGACTTGAGGAATGGTGGTGGTTGGGAGTTTAGAGACCCTATCCCAATTGTGCTGGCTACTCTTGGTTGTCAACGTGACTGTATCTAGAATGAACTAACAGTTCAGAAATGGGGGGCATGCTTGCGATCTGGATCTTGAGACTGGAAGATACAGGCTTTTGATCTGGATCATGAGTCCGGTAGGCACACCTTTAATCTGGGCCACACCTTCTACCAGAAGCCTATATAAGGACAATGGAAGAAGGAAGGGGGTGTGCTGGCTCTTCGCCTGCTTGCCCTTGCCTTGCCATCTTATCCACTCCTTCACCAGCACTGGAGCCTGCTTCTTCTGGATTCCAGCAAATACAGAAGACCAGCTGAAACACCCAGCCTCATGGGACTGAGCAACTACTAGATTCTTGACCTTTCCATTCATGGCTAGCCACTGTTAGATTAGTTGGACTGTAGCCTGTAAGTCATTCCAATAAATTCGAGAGAGAGAGAGAGAGAGAGAGAGAGAGAGAGAGAGAGAGAGAGAGAGAGAATAATTCATTCCATATGTTCTGTGACTATAGAGAACCCTAACTAATACACTAATCCTCTTGCAAATGGAGGCAGTTTCTCTGCAGTCAGGAAAGAGGTGAGCCCGTTGTCAGTTCACCAGAGGATAGGAAAAGATCATTCCTCTGTGCTTGAGCAACACCGAGTAGGATGTCCAGGCTCTTGTCTGTAATCCGCCTCCAGAAGCCCCCTCTCCTCGGCAGTTTTTGCACTTTGCTTTAGCTCATGGGATGACACTTGTGCTCCTGTCCATCAAGCTGTCCTTCATCCACCAAATCCAAACATAGATCGCTGTCTCTGTGATACACTGCCTAAGCAGAGGCAAAAGTGCTTTTCTCTGTTTCCTCAGAACACACCTGCACCTTTCCTTACCGAAGCTGGCCTGCTCCGTTGGGATGGGGAAGCCTCTTTCAGGGGCTCGTGAAGGAGTCACTACTGAAAAGCATTGATCTTACCCCTTAATATTCCATTATTTCATCTATTTCCACCTAACCTAGCTATGTGAGGGACTTTGCCAGGTTCTTTTGTTTGGTTGGTGTTGCTTGGATTCTAATGGCTCCCTCGGGGTAGGGGGTGAGAAGGCAATGACTCAGACACCAGGAATCAGTTGAAAGCAAATAACAAACTCATTTATTTAATAACAGGGTAGGCCTTATATACCCTCCTCCCAGCGCCCAGTCTGTGTGGTCGTCCCTCATTGGCTGGGCACGATCAAGAACTCTGACAGCGATTATTGCTAGGTCCTCAGGCAGACTTCGCATGATCAGGAACTCTGACAGCTCCTGTTGCCAGGCCCTCAGACAGACTCCAGGTTGGCTCTTAAGGAGTACGTTATGTGCATGCCCTGGCTACTGGTCTGAGCCAATTTCTTCCACCCTATAGGCCTGTCCTACTACAGGTTGGGTATTTTGTTTGTTTGTTTTTTGATTGGACAACAGAAAAATAGCCCAACACCCTTCACTTGGCCAAAAATATTATGGGCAGGCCTAGGGCTAATGAGATATATCATTTCAGAGGAATGTAGAAGCATGCTTCTTTTGAAAGCCAATACTGTCCCCAGGGATATTAGACAACTCCAACAGCCCTATCTGAACATCAACTGAAGGGGAGGTATTCTTGGTAACTATTTATTCTCTATTCTATCACTCCTACCAAGTTGCAGAGGGTTTGCCTCAAAGGCCTCAGAGGAGAGCTAAGAAAAGGCAAGCAAAGCTGAGTTCTACTCCAGTCCTAAAGGTTCTGACCCAGCTACTAGGCCAGGCTGCCCATGTCTCTTAGCTTTACACTTCAAGGGGAAATGAAGACTGACTCTTAAACTATGACATCAGACTAATGTTTCTGAGCAATGTTCCTTGATGACTAACATGATAAAGGAGAGGATACATCAGGTGCTTGCTGTTCAACAAGCAACCAAACTTCAAGACAACCAGAAAGCGCATGCTCACTGAGTGCCAATAGAACTGGACAAATGAGAACCACAAGCTGGCAGAACTAGACCACACCCAAGAACTAGAAGGGGTGGGGGTAGGAGATAGCTCTCTGAGAACATGTGCCTCGATTTTCACCAGCCTGCAATGCAATTACACTTCTCAGTTAATGACCAACGTGGTTACTGTCATGGGTCTAAGCGTCTCTCTTTTTCTAGCCTTTTGTTCGTTTTCATCTGTTTTCTTTCCTCACATGTCCAGTCCTTGTCCCTGTTTGACCCTCTCTGGACACTCACCATTCACCATTATCTACTGAAAGTTAGTCTTTTCGCATCAGCTTTTATCTTTTAGATGGAGCTGATTAAAACATGTATATATATTATATATACTACACACATACACACACACCAGCTCCTTCCTCAGACTTTGCATAACAACAATGAAGACTTTATCACTCCAGTTGCTCACGTCAGAAACCCAGGAATCAACACTGAACCGTCATTTCCTCTCATTTGTGGACCAGTTCATCCATAAAGAAATTCTGTAGGCTGTCCCTTTCATTTAAGTGCTAATTCCAATGATGGCTACCACCTTGGAGAAACCCAACATCTCTGGAACCGCAAAGACAGATATCTAGCTATCTGCCCTTTTAAACATCTATTATAACTCCAGATTTTGTATTCCATATAGCTGCCAGAGTGATTTTTAACAGTATAAGTTAGTTTATATTATTACTCAACTCCACAGTCTCCCTTTAGGATAGATTTCACACACATGTGATAAAATCCAGACCCTTTGGCTGTGGTCCACTAGATAATTTGCACAGGTATGGCTAACATTCCTGTGGTATGGTTCTTTCCAGGGATTATTTTATGTACAGAAGAAATGAAGTAACTTCAAAAACATTGTCCCCCGCCATATCTAGTTTTCATGATTCTTAAATTTTTACCCATTCTACTATGAAGGATCACCAAGATCTCTGCTGAGCAATGAATTCCCTCCACTACTGTTGATTTGGTGTCACTCATGTGGCCACTTGCCTTGGATTTTAGGAATCACACTCATTTAAGAATATTATTACAATTCCCCATTATTTTATTTTAACATTCTAGTATGATTTTGGCAATTCTAGTTCTACAGTTAGTCTCTCCAAACCCTGCAGAGTGCCCAGAACTTTGGC